CGGCGCGAAGCCTACCCGCTACCCATGGCCGTGGTCATCGCCTGGGAGCGCCACATAGTGCAGCCCGCCGTGCCGCTCGCCCTGCGCCTCTGGCTGGGCGCCGCTCTGCTCTGCATCCACGCCAGCCTGCGCTGGGGGGACGCCCAACGCGTCGAGTGGAGCTCCCTCGGCCTGACTCCTACACGCCTGCACGGAACCTGCTACAAGACCAAGACCAGCTCGCATGGCCAGCCTTTCGCAGTGCACCTTTGCGGTTTCGCCGGCGACTCGCCCGCCCGCTGCTGGGTCCTTGCCTGGCTGCGCGCGCCCAGCGAAGCCGCTAGCCTTCACACCACTGCCTGCCCGGACTTCCTCTTCCGTTTGGGGGATATGCACCAGCCCGGCCTGCCCGCACTTTGCCCTATACCACCACAGCCTGCAAGTCCTGCGCTGGGCCGCTACCCTGCCATGGCTCAGCGAGCCCGCCACTGCCTGCCCGCAAGCACTGCTCGCACATGAGGCGCGCGAACTCGGACTTCACGGACTCAAGTCCTGCCTGCTCGCCGCGGCCGCGCAGCTGCGCCTGCCCAAAGACGACCGCCTGCACCACGGCCATCACCGCGACTCTGCCCGCCTGTACAGCCGAGATGATACCATAGCCAGCCTCTTCGTCCAAGAAGAAATTCGCTCCGCACTGCTGCGCGGCTGGCGCCCGCAGCGCTCGCAGGCACGCGGAGGCCAGGCGCCCGTGCCGGAGCCCCCTCTAGGCATGCACTGCAAAAGCCTATGCACGCACGCGCTGTCGCCTGCGGAGCTCTCCGATCCCGGCCTGCGCCGCTGGATCACTCGCCTTGAACTTCAGCCAGCGTCGCCTGCACCCATGTCTCCAGAAGCACCGCTTACCCCGGCAACCGCCACTTCAGCGCCACGCACGCCCTTCCCGAGCCCAGTGACCTAAGCCCGGCCCCCGCAGCTTCGCCCACCGCCAGCGCCGACCCGGAAGCTGCTGCAGTGGCCCGCTGGGCGGCCACACACGAATCCTCGATCAAGCACAGAGCCTGCCTCTCCCGTGGCATCCGC